GTCGCCTGTAGCCTACAGCTACAGTCACCGACACAATGAAAAAAGTGACAGAAAACTGACACCATACGGGCGCGCATATGTACGCATATATGTGTAAAAATAAACGTTCATATGTAAACTAACCTTTATTCACTAGCAGGGGCTGATAAATCATAATCGTCGAGAAGTACGATAGGTGGTCCCACCTGTTTAATCTGTATGGAGAGGCAAACGTGACGTAAGAAGCATAACACTGGTTTCTCAGTATATTTAATAGACTCTGCTGTTGGCTTAACTGTAAGCTTATATGTAATAGGTGAATTAGATAACTGACCCTGTTGGAATGTATAATCAGTTTCGCAAGGGAATCCACATAGGTAATGACCTAAGTCATTTGACTCGATTCCAAATTGAGGGACTGATGTGGTTGTGATAGACCTCATGACATCATAGTTGAAGCCAACAGTATCGTTATTATTGTTAGTGGCATTTGCCTGCATCTCATAGAAGATTGGATCATTAGATGCTTGAGCCTCAGCGGGTATGTTACCATATGCTCCACAGTTCAATTGAATTTGTTCAAACAATGGATTTTCATAGGTAGTGTTATAATTAGGTGTTTTCTTAAATAGTGTATAAATGGTGTTCACATATAATGGAGTAAATGCTGCCGTGAATGTACAAGGAGTTCCTTCACCTTTAGCCATTGAACCATCCATAGTAATGCAGTCAATTCTTTTGATTGGGAAGTTTAGAGTCTTTGCCGAATATCTTGTCACCAAATCACTATAGATGTTAGGGTCCAAAGAGAATGAGTTACAGTATGTAATCATTTCAAAGAAGTTTGCATTCTTCTTAGTGAACTTAATAAACTTGGTACCAAATGATATCGTACTCTTATCGGCATTCCAAGTTACAGTATCAATAACTTTGATACCTTCATAGATAGGAGTGAAGTGATTAGTGATTGGAATATAGCTTGTAACATTGGCTTGCATGTTCGGTAATGGTAGAATATCCTGATAACTTAATGGTGTCCAAACCATACCAGCAATACTGAACTTAACCTTAAGTTGTAAGTTACCAGCAAACGCTGGAAGGAATCTAATGTTATTAAGTATTAGGAATCTTCTTAGGTCAATCTTGATTGGTATGTGGAACTTTAATGTAGTTGCACCACTAATTGGTTTATTGAACTCAATAATCTGTCCAGAACGAACTGTATCACATCTATTGAAAACATCTTTATGTCTAGCCTTACTAAATACATCAACTTTCTTAATAGCTTCTGTTGTAGATGCAGTAGAAGTAATGTAACCTTCTTCTCTAGCATTATCTTGTGTATAAACACTTTTACCATTAGCGATTAATTGATATGATTCAACAGCATAGAATGAATCAATGTATCCCAACCAAATTGCTGGAAGATGTGCACATGATTTGCCACCAGCATATTTAGTATCAATTGCTTTAATTGCTGTAACATTTGATCCTGTAGGAGCTGTCTCAACAGCTCTTTCTTTATATACTTCACCATCATATTTAGGAACTTTTTCATCAGCTGGTTCAGTTTCTGTTGTAATTATGCACTCACCATCGACATAACCACTAATGAACGTATTATATAAGTCAATCATGTTCTCACCAGGTGGTGATATGTTAAATGTAATATAACCGTTATCAATAGTATTTGTCGGCATAGCTGGCACTTTTGTTGGGACATATCTATGGTTAGTATCTCCAATAGGAACTGCCCCATCAACTTGATCGAAATAATATCTTACTTGTCTGATGGAATCAGCAATACTGTATGTATTGAGGTTATCGTTCAACATCTTTCTCAGCTATAAAAAATTTACAATCTTCTTATTCTTGGGATTATTCGTCTTATTTGTGGCTGAGGTTTAGGAGGTTCTGGTTCAGGCTCTGGTTCATCATCGAAGTGTATTCTTTTCTCTTCCATTGATTGAACATATTCTTGATTCTCTTTAGTTTCCTTCTCACGTTCAATTGGGTCCATGTTTGGTTCATTAACTACACTGTTACGTTCTAATATCTTTGTCATCATCTCTAACAACATTTTATTAGTATATGCTTGTTCTTCTTCTTTCTTCTCATCAACTTTAGGAGCTTCTTGAACAACAGGAGCTGGGGCAGGAGCTGGTGAATTCAATGGTGCCTTTCTCTTTCTAACTTGAACTGAACCATTCTTCATATGACAAACATAATATAATGGATGTTGTATTCCTTTAGCTTCATTCAATATGATTGATTGCTTTTCACTTGGTGAAAGTTTTGACGTCATTTCTATCCTAATAAAATTTTTTACTCCTAACAAAATGACTGAGAATACTTTCGACAGAGAAGCACTCAAGAATGAACTTCGTGAAGAAATACTTAATGAACTCAAACCAAAAGAACAAACACAAGAAGAGAAACCAGCTAAACCAAAGCGTAAACTCACAGAGAAACAATTAGCTGCATTAGCAGCTGGACGCGCAAAGAATCCACGAATGATTGCAAAGAAATTGAGAGAAGAGGAAGAAGCTAAGAAAAATAATAAGTAAGTGTTTAGAACTTTAACTTACGTTCAAAAGATGACTTCGTTGAAATAGTGAAGTCCTTATTTTTGTTGAAGCATGGTTTCGAACCAATGCACAAGTCAAAGGTTATCTCATCACCTTCATAAAGAGATTTGTACAATTCCACGATGCTATATTTTTCCCCAACTTTCTCAGGGAAGAACAAACCTTTCTTCTCGTCATAATGTACTTGTATCGCATCTGGGAACATTTGGTTTGCAGTAAGTGCAATTACGTCCTGTGTGATTCCCTTCATTCGACAGTGGAAAGCAATTTCCTTGAGGTCATTGGTTAATTCGTCGAGGTAAGTCTTCTTTCCAACGAATATAGATCTTTGTGCCTTAGACATATGTCCTGCAGTAATCTCTGCAAAGTCTGAATGAAATTGACCCAGTGCTTTTCCAATGAGTTCTCTGTTTACCTTCTTTGTTTTCTTCTGCTAACTTATCTAAGTCCTTCTCATACAAGTGTAAACTATCTGTATCCTGATAGAACAACTTCAAGCCCAAATCTTCTGCTGTGAAGAATACTTCATTCATGATTCGTTTGGACATAGAAAGGATTGAAACACCTAATGGACAATAGTTAAAGTGACGAACGATAGGTTTAAATGACTTTACACATGAAAGTTCGGAATCGGGGATGAACTCTATTGTCTGTATGTCATTATAGTTCTTAATGATATAGTCAGTGAGCTTATTGTCCTTGATGAAACGAATCTTTTTGTCAATGGGCTTTAATATCGTCTTACCATAGATACTGTTCAAAAGAAGTTTGATGATCTCTTGTATCGGATTACCTTCCTTCTTATACTTAGCACGTAATTCGAAGAGCTTCTTAACTTCATTCCTTATTGTCATGTCCCTTTTTCCATCATAATAGTATCCATCAATGACTTTGCATGAGATCTCTTGGAACTTGATCAGATCTTGAAGCGTAATGTGGTCTACGAACATCTTGCAGCATGTATTGGAACTTCTGGCAACATGTAAGTCAGGGTTGATGTCAGGATTGACGACAATCAATGGGAATGCTGAGTTCTTACCGATCGACAAGATCTCGATCTGACAGTAAAATCCTGAGATGAACTTTTCCTTTGTTGGTTCAGCTTGGTCATCATCAAAGAGATGCTCCAACAAGTATTCACTGCTCTTCATCTCTTCTGTCATAACTTTTGGAATTCCTTCTAAACAGTAAAGTCTAGCAATTGCTGATGGATACAATGATACAGCATCGAAGTCAGTGATGAGTTCTCCTTCATTGTATTGCTTCTTGTTCTCAGCTAGCATGCATCTTCCTCCTTGAATACACTTGGAAATATATTCACGAGGTTTTCCTGCAAGATCAAAGAGATTACCGTTCTTCCAATATACTCTCTTCTCAAAGAGTTTGTTTGAGATAGAACTTATTGAAACATAATCATAAGCATCTATTTCAAACTCAGTCATGAGGTCATTGCGGAACTTAAGAAAGCCATCTCGTAAAATGCGTACATCTTGACCGCAATAGAATGACGAATAAACTTCCATGTCAAAGTGTTCATCATCAATCTTGCAATCTTCAATCTTCTCAATGTTCTCATTAAAAGCTTCAATATCTTTGACATGATTCATGGCATCATCGATGTTACCAACTTTAGTTGTATTAACTAACTCTTCCGTGTAGTAATTATATGGGAAAACTTCTTTTTCACCACTAGTGAGGTGAAACATTTCAGGGAATCTTTCCAACTTAGTTGAGATGATTGCATAAGAGTCTTTGAAGCAGAGAAGTTTTCCTTTGTACTTTCCTTGTATCTGCATCGTTTGTGAACCTTTGATGATTGGAGTTCCTGTAATCTCTTCTAACTGAGACATGAGAAAAGTGACATCGTACGATAAGTTGTGGAAATAAACTAAACTCTTATCTGGTAAAGCTTCGAGGAATTTTGACGCACAGTCACTTCCCCAAATTGATGTATAACCATCATCGTCATCTTCCATGAAACAAATGTTGTATGCTTTGTGAATGTTTCCATCAGTTGATGCTTCGAAGTCAGCAAAGAAAACATGTTCTCTTGGGAACTTCATGTCTTTCTTCGTCTCTGAACTCCAATCTTTCTTCATCCTTGCGCAATAACGCTCATTGTATGTGAGGTCAATCATTTCTTCAAGGTTCTCATTATACATCGTTGTGAAGTATGTGCAAAGTTCTCCTGTTCTAATTGGTTCGAAATAATTGTTAGCAAACAAGAGTTCAATGACTTTTGCAAGTGGTGTAACTAACTTTGAGTTAATTGCATACCTTGTTTCATATCTTCTGTTAACTAACATCTTCTTCTCTAAAGTCCAATCCTTGCACAACTTACAAACATCTTCATAGTTCTTGATGAACATTGAACTTATTGGAAGCTTTTCGTTCAACATGTAGTGGTCATACATTAATAAAAGTTCTACTGTCATCTTTGGTTCTTCATCTGGTTCATAAGTATATGAATGATTTGAATACTTCTCGTTGTATTTGATGACATGGAACCTTATTCCTGTTTCTTTGGCAATAACCTTAATCTTTGACATTGGAAAATCTTTGACACGAATGATTTCCCTCATATGATTAATTGTTGCTTCGTCAACACCAGCTTGAATACAAGCGTAGATGAAACATGAATCTTTCATCATCTTCTTTGCTGTCTCTGCATTAAGTTCGTTGAAGATCTGATACCTCTCTAAGTTAATAGGTAATTTGCATGTCCATGTCCAAAGCTGACCATTACGTGACCTGTTTCTCTTCTTTGAATGGTTTTGTTTGATGATCTTGAGTGCGATCTTTTCTTGACCTGCTGCTCTCATCGTATCTAACATAACTTGTTCTTCAGCTGTGAGTTTATATGGTGTGTACGTTCCTTTTCTCAAAGCAGAAGCATCAACATCTGAATAAGCTGTATAGTCAAAGATCTCGATCTTCCTTAACGAAGGAATACTACAAAGGAAGAAGTCATAGTTTGATTCAAGGACTTTAGATGCTAATTCTTGTACTTCTGCTATTGGAGCTTCATTAAGTAACTGATGAACTAATGATCCCATTGTATTGATGTTCAAATGACGCAAAATGTTTCTCTTCTCATCAAAGTCGTAATAGAATGTCCACTTCTGTTTGAAAAGGTCTATCTGTCCAATGAACTTTGCCATAACTCTTGGAAACATCTTGTTGAAGTAATCTTTTCCTCTTGGACTGTATTGGTCAATGTTAAACATAATGAATCTTTCTCCTGCTTTAGTTATTGGGTCTAACCATTTCTCATCAGGAAGTTTTTGACCATTAATGTTCTTAACAACGTAAAAGGCATTCTGTATTTCTTTGTATGCTAATTCGCTCTCATCAATCTTTGGTGGAGGGTCTGAGTATATTGGTTGCATCTCCATTAACGCTCTATTATGAGATCTCTGATCGTGATCTAAAGCAACTGGGGAATTTGAAGCTGGAACATTCATGATACCATTGTAGTCATCATAGAAGCTCTTAGCATTCTTGAAAATATCTGCTACACTTCCTGTACCTCCTTGATTCTTAATTGCCAGAGCTAATTTATTGGTAATGTCTTTAGCTTTCTTAGGCATTTTGATCCCAAACATATCAAGCATACCTTTCTTATCTTCTGGTGAAAGGTTATTAACTAATCCTTTTATAGCATTGAGCATGTTGGTCTTTTATAACCGATAAAAAAATATACGTTATTTTTTTTTAATCGTCATCGTAATCATAATCGTACGAAGATTCTGTATCATCATCACTGACATCATTGGTTTCTCTAACTTCTGGCTTATCTGGTTTAATCTCTATCACCATAAACATTGGTGACAATAATCGAACAGGCTGATCTTGGAAGTCAACTAAGGTAAACGTAACATTAGTTAGTTCCCATGGAAATGCATCTATCCATGGTGAGGATTCCTTACATATAAGTGGTTTACCAGATATCCAGAACTCATTGATGTTATAACATGTAGATCTGTACATGATCTTTCTTCGATCATCAACTTGGTCAATATTATTGAACCCAGAGATGACAGACATTGATGAACGAAGGTATAACTGATACCCGAAGTTGAGCATAGGTGGTTTTGGCATTTGTAGATAATAATTATGTACAATAGGTAGTTCTATTCCAT